CGGTCCCCCCCCCCCACCGCCAACCCCCCACCTGCACGGGCTCGGGCACCTCCGGGGCCCTCACCTGACCGCAGCCTGGGAGCTGGGCGTGGGGGCAGGGTCGGACACGAAGGGCCACAGCTTCCGGTCTAGCCGGTCCTCCACGGCGTCCTGGGGGCCGAGAGGGGGTCAGGGGAGGGGCCCCACAGGACGGGCCCAGGAGTCCTGCCACTGGGGCTGGCCAAGTGCTCAGATGCTGCATCCTGGGCACCCAGGAGTCCAGGGCGAACAGGCCAAGGTTATCGGCCTCTAAGGGAGGGGGGCCAGGACCCGCCCCACCTGTTACTTTGCTGGCTGCTCTGGGCTCCTGGGGACCCGACCAGCAGGGGCTGCTGCGGGGACGGCTTGTGGGGGCATCAGGGGGAAAAGAACAGAGTGGACACAGAGGTGGCGACCAGCAGGGGGAGAGGGAGGGAGGCTCCCCAGTGGGTGGTCCCTCTGCTGCCCCAGTTCCTGGGCATGGGCCTGGGGTACCCCCACCCCGCAGGGCAGGGCAGATCATTGCCGGGGAATGTTGGTAATGAGGGATTTTCTGTTAAGCCTGGAGGCTTAGCACCATGAGACTGAGTCAGCTGAGCCTCTGACTGCTGGGGGCGGGGGTGCGTGGCCCCCCAACGCTGTCCCGCCCCGCCAGGGTACCTCCATCACGTCCTTGATGACAGGGGTCCAGCGGGACAGCTGATAGGTGGGCTCCAGACGCTCCCTCCGCTCCAGGTGGTTGGCGGTGCCTGCGCCCTACGGGAGGGGCCGGTGGGGGGGGCGGGGGGCGCGCACGGCACAGGGGGGGGGGTCGGGGAGGACGCACGTCACAGGTGGGGCTGGGCCTCAGCTGGCCGCAGACGACATGGAGAAGAGGAGCAGAGGGAAAGACAGAGAGGAAAGAAGGAGAGGGAGGAAGGAAGAAGCAGAGGCAGTGAGACAGAGAGATAGCGGGTACAGAGACCCAGGAGAGCCACAGACCCCAGGTGAGGCAGGTCAGGGACAGAAGAGCAGGGCCAGAGGGAGACTACACATGTTGGCTGGGGGGCGTCGAGGAGCCCCAGATCAGCTGTGTGTCCTGCCCCCCAAGCGCCTGCCTCTAGGGACTCAGACCACAAGTTCCACACCAGGTCCCCTGCACCAGGACCCCCACTGCCTTGTGAAGGATCCAGGAGCGGGGATGGCCCTGGTGCCTCTGGTACTTAGACTAGAGCACGTTCAGCACCGCCTGCCCCCCAGGAACCACCCCCCCAGGAAACCATGCCCCCCAGGAGCCACGCCCCCTAGGAACCACGCCACGCCTCTGCACGCCAGGGCCACAGCGCCAGGCCTGCCCACCCCTGGGTGCCCCCTGCGTACCCCAGGGTTGGTGACGGTGCCCCCCAGCTGCTCCAGGTTCCGGATCAGGCTGCTGTGCGCCTGCACGTTGGCGTGCTGGATCAGCTTGGCCAGGTTCTCCTCGCTCACCCCTGAGGACGGTGCAGCGGGAGGGCTAGGAGCTGCCCGCCCTCCTGGGCTCAGGACGGGGGGGGGGGGGGGGGGGGACACCCCAGGAGCCCATGGAAACTCCAGCTCCGACCCTAACTCTGATGGGAACTCGGGGAGCCCCTGTGCCAGGGCAGCTCTGCATGAGGAGTCTCTGAGGGGGTCAGCTGGGCAGGAAGGGGGTCCCCCAGCACTGGGTGAAAGAGCTGACATCTGCGGATGCTCCGTGGAGTCACAGATTGGGGTGTCTCCAAGCCATCTGGAGCGCTCTGCCAACTCGGGGTTCTCAGGCCCGTGGAGGAAAGGCCAAGTTTCCAAAGGGGGTATCGATGGGGTTAGCCGTGCCTGGTGAGTGTCCCAAGCCGCCCGGACCCCCCACCCACCATTCCGAAGAAGGATGTACAGCAGCAGCACCCTGATCTTGTCATAGGCGGGCACTGCGGCGTCCAGCAGCACCGGTACGATCAGCTTCATGGCGTCCTTGATCTTCTCGCCCTCCGCGTCGGAGCCCATAGCCAGGTCCTGTGGGGACATCCCAGGGTCCTTGTTCTAGCTGCAGGGTCCTAGCACAAGGCCTCCCAAGGTCTCACCAGCCAACCTCTCCAAAGCTCCGCCCCTCACCCAAGCCCCACCCACCTGCCCAAGGCCCCGCCCTTCACTCCCGCTCCACTCATCTGCCCAAGGCCCTTCTCCAGCCAGGCCCGATCCATTTGCCCCAAACCCTATCCTTAGCCCAGACTCAATGCATTTCTCCAAGGTTCTGCCCTGCATCTAGGCTCCACCCATCTCTCCAAGGCCCTGCCCCCCCACAGGCCCCACCCATCTGCCCAAGGCCCTGCCCCTAATCCAGGTCCTACCTTACGTCCCCATCCCTTGCCTCGTCCCTCCCCTAGGTCCCACCCATATCTCCACAGGCCCCGCCCCTCTCCGAGCCCCGCCCCTCCCACAGGGCTGCCATGGCTGGCCCGCACCTGCTCCACACTGCACAGCTTCTCCACGGAGCCCTTGAACCGCTTCATGCAGTCGTCGGCTAGATGCAGGTGCGTAGAATACTGCAGTGAGGGCAGAAGTTGGGAACAGGCTGAGCCAAGGCAGGAAGGGGACAGGACCTGCGGCTGTGTCCTGCTGGCCCAGGGCCAAGGTTCCACCTGCTCGAATTCACCTTGTTCAGCTCCTTCTGGTACTGAGGCATTTTCTTCAGGATGTGCGACAGGTCTTTGATGTTGGCCTAGGGTGGGGGTGGGAGAAGATGGGGCCCAGAGTGACACCAGGGTTCCCCAGCACCCAGACCTCTGGAGCCAGACCGAGGCCCCACTCCCTGTAGGGAGAGCTTTCCTCCAAACGCCACGCCCAGGGACCCCGGCCAAGCCCCTACCTTGTCTGTGGTCAGCCTCTTGCTCTCACAGAATGTCTTCAGAAGTTCCGTGACCCTCCTAGATGTGAGGGTGGACAGGAGTGAGGCTGGGGGCTGGTGATGTGACAGCAGCGTGAGGGCACGGTAGGTGTGACACGGTGGATGGAAGGGGGAGTCAGGAGACACTAGCCCTGATACCAGGACACAGGTAAACCCACAATGGGGGAATACAAGGTAGGGGTCCAGGTTGTAGGCCACTCAAGGAGTCCCACCAAGAAGCGTGGCTTGCAGAGGAACATGGCTTTGCTGTGGGGAACGGCTTGCACAGGGGCAGGCCTACCTCAAGGAGAGAGGGGTATGGTTTGCATAGGGCGTGGCTGCAGGGGGCCAGGCTGGCAGAGGGGTGTGGCTTGCAGAGGGCATGGCTGCAGGGAGTCAGGCTGGCAGAGGGGTGTGGCTTGCAGAGGGCGTGGCTACGCGGGATGAGACTTGCAAAGGGCTTGGTTGCAGGGGGCAGGGCTGGCAGGGGCGTGGCTCGTAGAGGGAGGCAAGGCTTGGCAGAGCGACTTGCAGAGAAGCACTCAGAAGAGCCCAAAGCAGAGGTTCGGACAGGGGAACCAGGGCCAAATACCAGATCCACAATGAGGGAGTTCCAGGTGCAGCCCAAGCCCAGCCCCAGCCCTGCAGCGCGCACTAAGCAGGCACGCACTTGGACACGTCGGCGATGTGCATGTGTCGCAGCTCCACCCACAGGTCGTCGTCCTCGTCCAGGAGCACCGCCTTCTCGCGCGACTCACTCAGCCCAGTGGTCTCGTACCTGGGGGGAAGGCAGGGGCCTGAGGGTCAGAGGCACTGGTGCAGGGTGGCAGCAGCGGTGGCAGGGGTGGGGCGGGGTCTGGTCTGCGCACCTGTACGTGTCCTGCTCGATTTCCAGGAGGTCGTAGGCCATGGCCTGGAAGGTGAGCTCATGCAGCAGGGGGGACACCGGGTCGGTGGCTCGGTCCACGATCAGCAGCTGTGAGCGGGTTTTCTCTGGGCCCTGCGGGGTGGGGAGGTGGGCAGGCGGCATGTGTGTGTGTGTGGAGGGGTCAGGACATCTAGGACCCTTAACCTCGGCCCTGCCCCACCTCCCCAGCAGGCCCCCTCACCTCGCCCAGGCTGGGAGTGTCTGCCTTGAAGGCATTCAGCTTGGCCAGCACAGCATGGGCCAGCTGGGCAGTGTCCTCAGGGCCCCTGGGGGTGAGGACAGTCGGACATGGAGACATCAGGGGATGAGGACAGTGAGGACCGGACACACACTGGGAGGGAGGGCAAGGACAGGGATGACGATGGGAGTGAGGGACAAGGGCTGAGGTCACCAGGGAGGTTGGACAAGATCGGGGCGGGGTGGGGCTCGGTCCCCACTTGCGGTAGCGGATGGCCGGGTACTCCTGCAGCGTGGCGCACAGAGTGGCGATCTGCTGGGCCAGCGCCTCGAGCTGCCGCGCCCGCTCCCCTGCCCGGAAGGGGCAGTAGAGGTTGTAGGTGCTGTGGGGGGCGTCCAGGGAAAACACCTGGGGACAGGAGAGCCAGGGCTGTCTCTGTGAGTGCACACCACCCAGCTGCCAGCGGCCAACACCTCCATCTCCCCAGGGTGTTGGTTCCCTGTTTTCTAGAGCGGAGCCTGATTGGCCAGCTTCCAGGCAGGCCGGGGCAGCCCCCAACCGAAGCAGGAGCCGGTGGACAGGACGACTCCGGGCAGTGCTCTCTGCTGCCCCCTGCAGTTCTCCAGTGGAACAGAACTCCAGTTTGCTCACGGTGGCAAGAGCTCGTCCCATCCGGTACCCCCCACCCCAAGTGTCTGACTCCGCGCCACTGTCCCCTTTACTTGGCTCACCTCTGGGACATGTGGCACCCCATGCCCTGCCCAGGACCGGCCTGGGCCTCACCTGGGCCTCGTAGGGGAGGAAGGCCAGGTGGATCTCCTTTAGCGTCTTCACCACCTTTGCTAGGCGAGAGCGGCCCAGCTCACTGAACAGGGGTTCGGGGCAGGCTGGGGCGGGCAGGAAGGGGTGTCAGACCAGAGCAGCCCCACACCCTCTGGCGCCAGTCCCCCACCCCCCGGGCTCTCCTGGCTCACTGTCGGTGAAGAAGACATGTGCTGCTTTGTAGGTGAATGTTGGGGTCCCCCGGAAGTCCGCGATCAGGGCCTGGACCGACTGAGAAATGCGGGTCAACCTCTGGGTCTGGCCCTGCGCCCCCAGACCCATCTGCCCACCCCCCCCAGCATGTGCCGCAAACAGCAGAGGCATGCACATACACTCACACACGTGTACACACACACTCACATATGTGTGTACACACATGCGCCATGCACACGCTTGCCCGGGCAGGCACCTTTTCCGTGGGGCTCAGCAAATAAATGGCCTCTAAGCTGGGGATGGGCTCTCGCCGTTTGCTGATGTCTTCGACGACTGGCAGGGATAGAGGAAGGGCCAAGTGTGGGTGGCAGCCAGGGAGGGGCCCCAGAGGAGGCTGGGATTTGGGGAAGTATAGGGGGGCTACCTCTCTTGAGGTCCCTAACACGTTCACACCTAGCCAAGAGCTACGTGGGCAGAGTTCTGCACACTTGGGGGTCACTTACAGAAGGCTAGGCATCCCGGGGGCGCCGTATTCGGAGTGCACCCCGAGTCCGAAATCGGGTCCTACACACCGGGGCTGCATAGCCTGAGGCTGACCCCGGTCAGGTGGCAGACGGCACATTTGGGGAACACACTTGCCACATGCTCTGGGCTGCCAGTACAGTGAGCGGCACCCTTGGGAGTGCCGCACAATTTCTCCCCACTCGAGTTCCATCTGGGGGCGGGAGGTGGGGGTGCCCACTCACTGGTGATACCCTCGGCCAGGATATCGGACATCTTGCAGCAGGACGACAAGATGCGCATGCTCGGGTGGTCCATGATGAGCACCTGTCAGACGGACAGACAGACGGGTGGACCAGGAGGCAGGGGATGGGCAGAGGCAGTGGGTGGGTTGACAGGTTCTAGCGCTGGCTGGGTGGGGGGACCCAGGACCCACCCACCGCTCCAGCCACTCCACCCTGTGGACCAACTGCCTCCTCCGGGAGTGCTCGGGGGTGTGCATTCAGGGCCCTCCCCAAGGGCCGCCTGCGGGTACCCAGGTGCTCTGCCTCACCCTACCTTCCACTCCCCATCCTTTTTGACGCTCCGAATGACTCCGCTCATAATTTCTGCAGGGAAGGGAGGGGGAGGGTGGGGGCTGGTCCTCTGGTGCTGCCATGCCTCCAAGCCTTCTCAGCCTGGGGGCGGGGGAGCCTCATCTTTTATTTTTTTTAGAGAGATTTTTGCTATAGGGCACATGTGCTCACTTGAGAGACAGAGAGATAGAAAGTGAGAAATGACCCCACAGGTGGAATGGCCACACTGCAATCCCTTCCCCTCCATTCTCCTCTCGGGATTTTGGGCATGCATGCACATGTGCTCAGCATTGTTTTTTTCTTTTTTTTTGGAGAGGATTTTGCTATAGGGCACGTGCGCTCACCAGAAAAACAGAGACAGAGAGACAGAAAGCAAGAAATCACCCCCTCAGGGGGGAATGGCCATGCCGCAATCCCTTCTCCTCCATTCTCCTCTCGGGATCTTGGGCACGCGCGCACGCCCGGTGTGAGTTTAAGCCACCGGGTTTGGGACTTGAACTGCAGCCGGCTACATGGGAGTCCAGCGACATAGCCATTACACCATCCGCTGGTCCAGTGCTCAGCGTTGTTTCAAGCCACCAGGACTGGGACTCGAACCGCAGTTGGCCATGTGGGATTCCAGCACCTTAACCACCACACCACCTGCTGGTCCCTAGACGCCCCCATCTTAATTCTCATTTACCCCTGAAACACTTCCTGGTATCACACACACTCCCCCCACTCCCCAATTTGCAGACAGGGAAACAGTTTTCAGAGGACAGGCGACTCGCCCACGCTCTTGCAGTACCTTAGTGGCAGTGTGCCTAGGACATGACTGGCCACTTATCAATATGTCTCAGATGGACACACAACGGGCCTCCAGAGCAGGCCTCTGGGGTGCCCCGTCTGCTGTGCCGTTTTTCTGCTATGGAGGTTTCAGCCAGACCCGCACTGCAGCTCCGCCAGCCCCCACCGCCCTGGCCTGAGATGCAGGACCTGATTCCCAGCTCTGAGGCATGCCTGGCTGTGGTCGTCTCATCCACCTGCAGCCTCGGTTTCCTCATCTGCAGAATGGGAGCCCTGTTTTTCCCGTCTCCCATGAAGCCCTCTGTGTTTAGGAGGCTTAGTTGGTGCGCTGGGGGTTTGAGGCCCACTCTGCCCTTCCTAGAGAAGGGAGTGGGCAGAAAGGATGGGGTAGCCCCGCCCAGCTGGAGCAGCTAGTCCACTGTTATCAGGCCAGGGCGGGCGGAAGGAGCAGCAGAGGCCGGAACTGCCCGGGTGGGGGAGGGAGCGACCTGCACCTCTCCCCCAAGAACCAGGGCTCTAGCGGCCGAGGTGCCCGGGTCCTCATGCTCCATCCTGGAGATGGGACAAGGAGGAAGGAGGCCCCCACACCACCCTTTGGGGTCTTGGACACACCCCCTGAGCGCTCACGTTAGCTGGGGTCTCTGGCCAGCACACCCTGGCACCCTAGAGTCCAGCCCCCAACTTTGGCTCCGAGACCCGGGAACCTGGGCGTCCAGGAGCACGCTCCCCCGGAAGTACCCTCCGAGTCCCAGGAGTCTGGGCTCCAGCCGGTGCACCCTTGGGTCCCTGGCACTCAGGCTCCCAGCTCGGCTCAGCTGACACCAGAGAGCCGGGACGCCCAGTCGAGGCCAAGTCCCCGCTCGCCCCCTCGAGGATCAGTGGATCCAGCGCCCAGCCCGGCTCCAAATTCCCGCCGCTGGGGTCCCGGGGTCCCAGGGTCCCACTCCCCCGCCCAGCAGGGAGCGGCCCGGGGAGACACTCACTTTCCCCCACCACCGCCTTCAGCCCCGAGGGCGCCATCTTCCCCAAGGGGCGCCGCCGCGGCTTCCGGGTCTGTCCCAAGGTGGGGGCGTGGCTCCGCGCGTCAGCCACGTGGGGCACGCCCCATTAGTATGGCCACGCCCCTTCGCGCACCTGGCCACGCCCCGCTGTCGGTTCTCTCCGCGGCGGAAGAAGCTGTGGTCCGCAAGGGTCGGACGCGCAGATGCGTCCACGCGGCCGTGCACGGAGTCGCTGGAGGGGCGCGTCCGGCCCACCAGCTCACAGAGCGCGGCGAGGACGTGCGATCGCTCGGCAGGAATCCCTGTCTGTTCCCCGGGCACGAGCGCCAGCTGTCGGAAGTCTCTGTGTCTGAGCCCAGCCGGGCCACGATGCCACAAACCTCTGGGTCCAGGACCATGCCCCATTGTCTTCTGCACCCTGAGGTTTGGCAGCAGAAGCAGGTGGCTGGGACAGCGTTTGATGAACTTGGGGAGACCCGGAGGAGGCACCTGAGTTGCACATTAGGCTTATTTGAGGGGCCAGCAGGTGGTGTGGTGGTTAAAGGCACTTGGCTGACCACGGTTCAAGTCCTGAATCTGGTGGCTTAATTTTATCTATTAATTTAATTTGACCAGAGAAAGACAGGCACACAGAGAGAAGAAAAGTGAGAAAGCAAGCCACCAGGTCCAGGACTTAAACCGTGGTTGGCCATGTGGGAGTGTGTCCAGTGCCTTAACCACCATGCCACCTGCTGGCCCAAGAATTATTTATTTAATTAACTCCATTTGGTATTATTATTTTTTAATTTGAGGAGAGAGAGAGAAAAAGCTGCCAGATCCCGGACTCAAACCACGGTTGGCCGTGCCACCTGCCAGCATCTTTCCCTCACGTTTTAAAGTTTACTTCCCCCAGGAGAGAAAGACAGAAAGAGAGAGACAGTCACCACAACTAACAGTTCCTCCAGCCACAATCTGCCCCCAGCCTAAGCCAGCTAAGGTCAGGGGCACGTGTCACACCTGTGTGCACAAGGAGGCCTTGGGGCATGAACCTGGACCTTCCATTTAGGTTTACCATCACAGCCTCATTCCTTAACAGCGTTATTCGTATATTTTAGAGTAATTTATTTTATTGTTGTTATTATTTTAATTTGACCAGAGAGAAAGAAAGGGAAAGCAAGAAAGCAAGGGGCCAGTCTGGGACTTGAACCATAGTCAGCCATGGGGGAGTCCAGTATCTTAACCACCACGCCACCTGCCAGCCCCCTTTAACAGCTTTACTGAGACACAGTTCACATACTGCACAATTCACCCACCTGACTTGCCTAAGTCGGTGGCTTTCAGAATATTTGGGGTTAGTATACTCATGATATCATTTTAAAAAATAATTATCTATTTTAATTTTATTTATTCACTTATTTTATTTTAATTTGGCCAGAGAGACAGAGAGAGAGAGAGAGTGAGAAAGCAAGCCACCAGGTCTGCGACTTGAACTGGGGTCAGTAATGTAGGAATGTACAGTGCCTTAACCACCACACCACCTGCTGGTCCCCAATATGTTAGAATTAACTGATTGTTTTTAAGCATTTCCAGAGGGTGAGTGGGCTGCAGCCTCCTTGGGACAGGGCCATGATGCAATCCCTTTTCCTCCATTCTTTTTGGGATTTGGGGCATGCACACGCTTAGCATGATTTCCTTTTCTTTTCTTTTTACGAATTTTGCCTTAGGGTGCATTTGCTGGACAGAGAGAGGAAATGCGAGAAGTCACCTCTCAGAGGGGATGGCCACACTGCAGCTCCTCCTCCATCCTCCTCCTGAGATTTGGACATGCACACACATGTGCCTGGTGTGATTGTTTACAAGCCGCTGGGTCCGAGACTCGAACCGTGGTCAGCCGTGTGGAATCTAGGTATCTCAACCACCTCGCCGACTGCTGCCCCCCATCATGATCCATTTTAGAACTCTCCCATTACCCCCCAAGGTGCTTGTGAGTTTTATCTTGAGAACAATGAGAGCCAAAGAAGAGGTTGGAAGGGAAGTAGGGAGTCCCCCCCCAGATTCTGGGGGTGGGAAGGATGGATTGTAGGGGCAGAGGGAGAAGCCATAA